AAGAGGGCTAGATTTCAGAAAAGGATGGAAATGGAGGACGGCTGGCCCTCCAGGTTAAATACTTAAAGATTGTTAGAATACTCACTTATTTTTATAACTGGGCATGGAGCTATTGGGATGGGAGCATGTTGTCTTCCTTGGTCACCTTTTACTCTGTTCAGTTTGCCAGTAACTTCTATTATCTATGCAAGTGAGATGGACTGGCTGGTTGACTCTTTATGACTAGTGACACTTTCTCATCTCCTCTGTTCTGGAGACCAGATAGCTTTAAAGGGGAAGACAGAGGCCAGCCAGAGGAACTGACCATGTGTTGAGCTGCAGAGTCATAGGCTCAACAGTTAAATACGGACCTCCTAGGAGTAGTTCTAAGGTGGGTGATTGCTGCCCCTCATCATACCTCTTTTTTTTTTTTTTTGAGACAGGGACTCACTCTGTCGTACAGCCTGGAGTGCAGTTGCATGATCTCTGCTCACTGTAACCTCCACCTTCCAGGCTGAAGCGATTCTCCTGCCTCAGCCTCCCAAGTAGCTGGGATTACAGGTGCCCACCACTTCACCCAGCTAATTTTTTTTTTTTTGAGACGGACTTTCGCTCTTGTTAGCCAGGCTGGAGTGCAATGGCGCGATCTCGGCTCACCGCAACCTCCGCCTCCTGGGTTCAAGCAATTCTCCTGCCTCAGCCTCCCAAGTAGCTGGGACTACAGGCACACACCACCATGCCCAGCTAATTTTTGTATTTTTAGTAGAGACAGGGTTTCACCTCGTTGACCAGGATGGTCTCGATCTCTTGACCTCATGATCCACCCACCTTGGCCTCCCAAAGTGCTGGGATTATAGGCGTGAGCCACCGCGCCCAGCCTTTTTAGCATTTTTAGTAGAGACAGGGTTTCACCATGTTGGCCAGGCTGGTTTCGAACTCCTGACCTCAAGTGATCTGCTTACCTCAGCCTCCCAAAGTGCTGAGATTACAGGCATGAGCCCTGCCTGGGGTGATGTTTTTTAAGCTACTCTCACTCAGAGCCTGCCAAATTTGCTTCTTGAGCTGAGGTCTAGTGAGGAAGTCCTCAGAATGGGGAAGTAGGGTGATAGTTAAATATTGATGAAACCGTTATCTTCCACTCCCCAGCCTGAAGAAGTTTAATCTTTTGACTTTCTGCTCTAGAGAACTTTGAACCCCTACTCAGGAGGAGACACCTGTTGGAAGGGGGTTGGGGTGCTTGGGCTACCTGTTACCCTCTTAAGGCATTCTGGAATGTGGGTTCTGCAGGCTCCTCCCTCCTCTGGAGCTGGAAACTGCACTCTCTGATGGTATCGATTATTTTCCTGGTCACTTTGTGTGAACGTCCAAGCCACCTTTGTTGGGAAGCTAGATGAGTCCAAAACTGAGACACTGCTGTTCTAGGATCTAGCTTTAGTTTCTGCTCTTGGCCTGGAAATTGGTCTTTTCTAATGTAGCACCTTGTCAAATTCACTTTCAGTTCTGCATTTCCTTTGTACTTCTGTCTAAATGGAAACAGATGGCAACATCAAATTTAAATGCAGTCTTTTTCCTTATCTGTTTTTTTCTTTTGTGGTAGTGGTGGTAAAAATATACATAACATAAAATGTATCATTGTAACCATTTATAAATGTACAGTTCACCTTACGTGTTTTAATACCTCTCTCCTAATTGTCCGTGATATTTTTACTCTTTTTAAATTTTTTTCTAGTCTAACAAGCTTAACAGGCTGGGTTGGGTGGATCACATGAGGCCAGGAGTTTGAGACCAGCTTGGCCAACATGGTGAAACCCGGTCTCTACTAAAAATACAAAAAATTAGCCAAGCATGGTGGCCCATGCCTGTAACCTCAGCTACTTGGGAGGCCTGAGGCACGAGAATTGCTTCAACCCTGGAGGTGGAGGTTGCAGTGAGCTGGGATCAGATCATGCCACTGTACTCCAGCCTGGGCAACAGAGTGAGACTCTGTCTCAGAAAAAATAAAAATAAATAAATAAATAATTGGGAGTGGGCTTTAACAGCAATTTTGATTCTGGCCTTAATCCTGATCTTAGTTTCTGGAGAGGTTAGAGTGATTATTATGTGGTTCTCTTCTGTTCTTGGGTCTGGTGGACTAAGCAATAGGCTTTACCATCTTTTTAGTTGCTTTGCTTTTCTGCTGCTTACCTTTCTCTTTCCCCATACTAGAACACACACGCACAGAGGGGAGAGGCAAACACCCCTTGACCCCTGCTTAGGCTCCACCTTTGTTTACTCTGGGGCAGATAGATCTACTCCCTTCCAACTCGCCTCCCTTTTGGTGAAGTTTAAATTTCCCAAGGACACGTTATCTCCCTGGGTAGATGCATTTGTGAGCACAGTGAACTCAAGTGGGCCTTTACTCACAGGGCTCAAGCCTAACTTTCTAATAATCTTTCATTTGAATTTCATCTGTGGCTTTTATCTAAAAAGAGAAACCCCAGTGTGGCAGAGGGCCAGATTTAGGCTAATCCCCTTTTGTCCTTGGCCCTGTTCTGCCTGTGAGCACCATCACACTGTCAATTTCTTGCCTGGAGGGGTTGACATATATGGGAAATCTCTTTGCTGTCCTAGGAGGATAGCTGAAGCTGTTGTCAGCCATCTTCTGATGTGACTGAATTGCTGCTGCATTCTACTCCTCTCCCCACCCCCCACCCAGGATCTTTGCTTCCTGGGCAGTGAAGATACCTATTATTACCTGAAGGGGAGGACCACAGGATACTGTATATCCTCCAAGCTGGGCAGAGATAAATCAGCTGAAACACCAAACCCACATCTGGATTGGCATGCTAAGACCTAGGATGATTAGGAAAGCACAGTGCTCAACGTTTTCCAGGGTCACAGGTAGCCTGGTCTGCAAAAAGTAGCCCTGTTCAATCTCTTGGTATTCCTTGGTATTATTTGACCTGCAAAGGACAGGCATTGTGCATAGACTCTGACTTGAGGGAAAAGTCAGCTTGTCTTCCTTGTTCCTTTAAACAAAATATCAGATCTTGATTCTGCAGGCTTGTGTTTAATTGTAAAGAGAATTGATCCTCTGGGCTAGGAGAAAAGAGAAAGGCAAGGCCCTATTCTCTCCCACCCCACCCCCAGGGGATCTCTGAAGCTTTTGCTAGAACTCCCATCTTGGGTTCTGCTTTTGCTACAGGCTTGTTCATGTGTGCATGCTCTTAGGAGGGCACCAAGATGTGTTTTCTCCCTCTCCCTTCTCAGCCTTGCTAGGAATTCTATTGTAAATGCTGATTTGTGGGAGAAACTGCCTGAGCCAGCTTGCTGTCATGGAAACTGTACACCCCCGCCCCATAGCCTGTTATCTTCTACTCCAGTTTGGTGAGCTGAATGATGCCTTACATTTCATGAGCTGCTTCTAAATCTAGTTGCATTTTTCATTTGAGGAGGGTAAGTCATTTTACTGGCAGTGTCTCATAGTTCTTGCCTGAGAGGCTCCTGACTTGCTCTTGATCCGTGGCCTTGTTGGGTTTGTGAGGAGAAATGTGTGTTGTCACAGAGGACATCTGTTTTTCTGGAAGAGACAGAAGCAGAGAATACTTGTCTTTGTGGTGTTTTGAATAGTGTAGTTAGATACAAATGGTTTCTTAGTAATTTCAGCTTATGTTGATTTCTCGATTTTCTTTTCCTGGAGCCTGGTGGCTAGATTGTAGCCCCAGCCCTCTGCTTCCCTTCCTAGTCTTTTCAACCTCTCATATTTGTATGTGGAAGTTTTTGTGTCAATCTTGATTGTTAAAAGGAGTCTTCTGGTCTATATTCTTCCTTGTCGGAGCTAGTGGCCCAGGCTATTTCTATGGCTGCCCCAACTCCTGCCTGCCAGGAAGAAATCAGGGTAATAGAATTCAGGCACAATCTGGGCTATAGAAGAGAGATCATGTTTACCAGGCACTTGGATAAGCATCTGAACTGGGTGGTGTGCGGGGCATATTAAATTCTTAAATATTGTTGCTGGCAGGGTACCTCCCACCAGTAAAGGTAGCAGGGAGACAGTCATGGAAAGAGGTTTTCCTGCTTTAGAATTCATTCATCCACCTTCAGGCTGCCTCCTTCTTTCCTTGTCTTATTCCATTGCTAGGGAAAGTAAACTCATCCAAGCATGGGTTTACTTGGACTCTAGCCTATACTTCATTGTGAGATGAAGGGCAGGAAGCAGATTGTCATAAGCTGTATTAGCTAGAGGGTAAAGCTAAGGGGATGGCTGGAGGAATAGAAAGGAGACAATTCAGAAATTTAGAGGAATGATAGTGGGTGTGGTGAAATGTTCTCTTTGCACCCATTTTTTGTTTTTTTTTCTTTTTTGTAATGCTATCAAAGCAGATAATTTTAGCTAGAAGCAGCTCCTTGTTGCCAACTTTAAAAAGGAATAGGGGGCTCAAGTTGAAGGGATGATGAGTAGGTATCTCAACAATGTTCCATTCTTTTGCTTTCCAGTCTTGAAGGCTATTCTGAAAGACATTCCCTTGGCTAGTTAGTCTTGATATATTAGGGTAATGTGATCAGAGAAATAACAGCTTGAGTTAAACAGCACGTAATAGGTAATCCAGGATTCCCTCTTCAATAAACCTCGCTTATTTATTTTTTTCTGCTTTATGAGACACTTACGAGGTTACTGAGGATGAGACATACTGCCAAGCCAGAGCTCAGGCAGAAGGAACCCTTCATTGGTTTTCTTTTCTGACTCCAGTATGTTTAGGAATTTGAACTGAGTCCAGGAAGTGGGTGGTACTAACTCATTGGGCTGGGCAAGGAACTGAGTTTTAAAACACTCTTCCTGTGGAACATATGGGAGTTCGCTGATGGGAAAGGGAGGATATATATATATATAAAGTTATGTCTGCTAGATCTTTTAACAGCTGAGCTAAGACAAGTTCTACCCTGTGAGACTCTGGCATTTTTATGGTAGTCAATCCCAGTCTTACTGTTCTTCTTTTCACCATGCCTCTGCTTCTCTTTTCCATTCTTTCCTTCAAATGCAGGCTGAGGCTGAGGTGGCCTCCTTGAACCGTAGGATCCAGCTGGTTGAAGAGGAGCTGGACCGTGCTCAGGAGCGCCTGGCCACTGCCCTGCAAAAGCTGGAAGAAGCTGAAAAAGCTGCTGATGAGAGTGAGAGGTGTGTAGGGAAGCTTGATGGAGTGTGGATTTTTTTTTTTTTTTTTGAGATGATGGAGTTTTGCTCTGTTGCCAGGCTGGAGTCTTGCTCTGTTGCCAGGCTGAAGGATAGTGGCGCGATCTTGGCTCACTGCAACCTCCATCTCCCAGATTCACGCAATTCTGCATCAGCCTCCTGAGTAGCTGAGACCACAGGCACGTGTCACCACACCCAGATAATTTTTGTATTTTTAGTAGAGATGGGGTTTCAGCATGTTGGCCAGGATCTCTTGACCTGTGATCTTTCTGCCTTGGCCTCCCAAAGTGCTGGGATTACAGGCATGAGCCACTGCACCGAGCCGGAATGTGTATTTTAAAAAGAGGTTCATAATAGTTCTGATCAAGATTTCCTTATAAACCTGTTTTTTAAATAGTATTTCTGGCCGTGTATGGTGGCTCACACCTGTAATCCCAGCACCTTGGAAGGCTGAGGCAGGAGGATCACTCAAGCCCAGGAAGTTGGTGCTGTAGTAAGCTGTGATTGCGCTACTGCACTCCTGGGTGACAGAGCAAGACCCTGACTCAGTCAATAAATAAAAATAAAATACTAACTCCATCATACAGGATCTCCTTTCTGTTCTGCATAATCTCTCCCCTTGAAGACAGAGTAAGGGTAACCTAGATGCTGTGACCCTTTTGTAATTAGTATTTCCCTACAAATTGCCCTAATGATCCTTAAAATGGGATCACCAGTACTACTTCTACTTTCTGGATCAGAAACTTCTATTTGTGAGATTAATTCCTCTAAAACAGAGGTTCTCTAAATAAGGTCTCAGACCAGCAGCATCAGCAATACCTGGGAACTTGGTAGAAATTCACATTCTCAGCACCTACCCTGATCTACTGAATCAGAAACTCTGGATGTGAGGCCTGGCAGCCTGTTTTTAGTAAGCCTTCTCAACCCTGGTTGCATTATTAGAAACATAGGTTGGGGTAAAAAAAATTTTTTTTAATAAAAAAAAAGAATCGTAGGTGGGAGTGAGAGCGGAATCACTGCAGATGCTTAGATCTCATCCCAATTCCATTAGAATCAATTGCAAGAGGGGTCTGGGCATTGATGTTTTTGAAGTTTTAATGTGATCCTAGGGTTGAGAACCATGGACCTTGAACCAATTCACAACTCATCTTTTTGAAAATAGTCAGTTGTCGCCTTGCCACGTGTGAGTTAGATTAGAACAGAGGTGTTTGACAACTAAGGCTTTTTCAGAGTAAATAGTGCCCTGCTAAAGGTACATTACCATTGTGCAGCTGTAAAAATGAAAGAGGCACCTATGTGTAAACTATAACAGTAACGTCCAAATTATAGAAAGTGAGGACTGGGCATAGTGTGTCACATCTGTAATCCCAACACTTTGGGAGGCTGAGTTCGGTGATCACTTGAGGCCAGGAGTTCAAGACCAGCCCGACCAATACAGCAAAACCCCGTCTCTACTAAAAGTACAAAAATTAGCCAGGCATGGTGGTGCGTGCCTATAATCCCAGCTACTTAGGAGGCTGAGGCACAAGAATCACTTGAACCCAAGAGGCGGAGATTGCAATGAGCCTTCCTCAAGAAAAAAAAAAAAAATGGATAGCTGCATGCTAAATGGTGGGGGGAGGAGGGGGGAAGAGTGTGAGGAGAACAAGTTGCAGCACTGTGTAGTTTATGATTACTTGGGGAAGCTGGGGTGAGATTTTTTTGTGTATATCTATTTAGTTTTAAGAATATCTATTTTATTTATTTATTTTTTTTGAGATGGAGTTTCGCTCCTGTTACCCAGGCTGGAGTGCAATGGTGCGATCTCGGCTCACTGCAACCTCCGCCTCCTGGGTTTAGGCAATTCTCCTGCCTCAGCCTCCCGAGTAGCTGGGATTATAGGCACGCACCACCATGCCCAGCTAATTTTTTGTATTTTTAGTAGAGACGGGGTTTCACCATATTGACCAGGATGGTCTCAATCTCTTGACCTTGTGATCCACCTGCCTTGGCCTCCCAAAGTGCTAGGATTACAGGCATGAGCCACTACGCCCAGCTTATTTTATTTTTATTTTTTGAGACAGAGTCTCGCTCTGTCCCCCAGGCTGGAGTGCAGTGGCAGAATCTCAGTTCACTGCAACCTCTGCCTCCTGGGTTCAAGCAAGTCTCATGCCTCAGCCTCCTCTGAGTAGCTGGGATTACAGGTGCCTGCCACTACGCCCGTTTTTTTTGAGACGGAGTTTCACTCTTGTTAACCAGGCTGGAGTGCAATGGTGCGATCTCGGCTCACGGCAACCTCCGCCTCCTGGGTTCAGGCAATTCTGCTGCAGCCTCCTGAGTAGCTGGGATTACAGGCACGCGCCACCATGCCCAGCTAATTTTTTGTATTTTTAATAGAGACAGGGTTTCACCTTATTGAAAAGGATGGTCTCTATTTCTTGACCTCATGATCCACTCGCCTCGGCCTCCCAAAGTGCTGGGATTACAGGCTTGAGCCACCGTGCCTGGCTTAATTTTTGTATTTTTTAGTAGAGACAGGTTTTCACCATGTTGACCAGTCGGGTCTCGAACTCCTGACCTCAAGTGATCCACTTGCCTCAACCTCTCAAACTACTGGGATTACAGGCATGAGCCACTGCGCCTGGCTGGGATGTATTATCTTTATAACAAAAAGTTTTAAGTGAAGTAAACTAAGGTGTGGGAGTAGTAATATGGAATTTCCATTTGAGGGGCAGACAGAGGAATGGGCTTTTTTGTTTTTTTGTTTTGTTTTTTGAGTTGGAGTCTTGTTCTTATCTTGCTGGAGTGCAATGGTGTGATCTTGGCTCACTGCAACCTCTACCTCCCAGGTTCAAGTAATTCTTCTGCCTTAGCCTCCCGAGTAGCTGGGATTACAGATGCAAGCCACCACATTGGGCTAATTTTTGTATTTTTAGTAGAGATGGGGTTTTACCATGTTGGCCAGGCTGGTCTCGAACTTCTGACCTTGTGATCTGCCCACCTTGGCCTCCCAAAGTGCTGGGATTATAGGCGTGAGCCACCTCAAGGAATGGGCTTTTAAAAGTACAATTCTGAGACCCTTGGAGTGGAACTGATGCCATACTCCTGAGGGTGTCAGTATTGTATTTGTCCTGTTTCTGGCAGAGGTATGAAGGTTATTGAAAACCGGGCCTTAAAAGATGAAGAGAAGATGGAACTCCAGGAAATCCAACTCAAAGAAGCTAAGCACATTGCAGAAGAGGCAGATAGGAAGTATGAAGAGGTAGGTGACCTTCCGTTTATCCCTCTCTTCAGCGATATCAGGCTTTTGCAAAGAATAATGCAGTAAATGATTCCTTCTTTGCTTCACTAAGCTATACTGGAATATTTTCCTGTAGGTGGCTCGTAAGTTGGTGATCATTGAAGGAGACTTGGAACGCACAGAGGAACGAGCTGAGCTGGCAGAGTCGTGAGTATCTAGCTCTTCAAATCTTGTCACACCATTTTGTCTCTTTCCCCTTTGGCTTGGGCACTAATAAGAATAAATTAGCATTCTTTCAACCTTGTTAAACAGGGCCTAGGGAGTGGGAGTCATCTATAGTCCTTTTTTAGACCCAAGAATGGCTTTAGGCTTCCTGACTAGTGACAGGTGACAAAAGAGGCTTTCTTATTTTTTGTTGGTAGGGTTTACAAATTGAGAGCAAATCAGGACTAATACATGGTGAACAGTTAACTGGAAGATCCTACCAGGTCCTTCCACCTGGGGTGGAAAGCATCAAAGTGGCTGTCCTGATTGAAGATCTGGTGTCCGGCTGGGTGTGGTGGCTCATACCTATGGCCCCAGCTACTTAGGATGCCAAGGCAGGAGGATGGCTTGAACCCAGGAGTTGGAGGCCAGCCTGGGCAACATAGGGAGACCCTGTCCCTAAAATAAATTTAAAAATCTGGTGTCTGTTTTTGCCACTTTGTCAAAATCTGCTGGGGATCCTCAGGGTAAGGATAGATATTAACTGCTCCCTGTTGGTACCTTCTGGGCCTTGTATAACAAAGTCAGTGCTGATGCTTATATATTTGTGCTTCCCTTACATTCCCTTCTGCCAGACATAACATATCATGACCATGGTGGTGTTCTCTTCCCATTTTTTGAAATTTTTTTTTTTCGTTTTGCTGCTTGTTTTCTTGCTGTGTTCCTTTTTGACCTTTCTCCCTCCCCACAACCTGGCTTGTGCCATCCCCGTGACTATCACTAACAGCCGTTGCCGAGAGATGGATGAGCAGATCAGACTGATGGACCAGAACCTGAAGTGTCTGAGTGCTGCTGAAGAAAAGGTACTAACCATTAAACCCACAGCAAGATTATATATATATATGGTGTGGTTTTGTTTTGTTTGTTTCATTTTTGTTTTGCAGCTGCCTCCCCTCCACTGGTTGATTTTGTTGAGTGCTGTCTCATCTCTTCATGGAATGCTTCATTCTTTTCCACTTACTTGGCATCTTTCATCTCTTCTTTCCTAGTTGCTTCACTGCCTCTCCACAGGGTCTCCTTCCTCTGGGTGATTTGGGGGACTGGGTTGGGCATTTGTTCCCACCTCCACCCCAGGTGACAATTATGACTTGTTCCTGGTAGTGGAGTGCTCTCAAGTATTCTTTCTTTATTAGTATTCAAACATTGTGAGCCCAGGAAGGTCCAGCTCCTGACATGTTCTATGGTAGAGGGAGGAGGGTTGATGCTTGCTCAGGTTACTTGGGAACATCTTTTCCCCAGTATGCCTTCCAACTCTCTCTACATATAGGTTCAATTCACATCTATGTGTCTCTCTCCCTTTTTTTATTCTCTTCCTCTTCCCCTTTCCTCTCCTGCGGTATTTAAAATATTCACAGTAAGTGTTCTGAGCTGGAGGAGGAGCTGAAGAATGTCACCAACAACCTCAAGTCTCTTGAGGCTCAGGCGGAGAAGGTAGGGGCTGGTTTGTGAAAGTGACAGGCTTTGGGGCCTGGGCCCAGCCCTGCCCTTGATGAAAGACTGGAGACACCCATTCCATATATAATCCAGTGAGGAGTGTCCTCTTCCTACCTACTTGCCGTGTATTCACATTCTGGGTTGAATGCTACTTTTTGGGCACTTTGATTGCTTTAATGAAAATAACTTCATGGTCTCAGGTTCCTGGAGTCATGTGCTCCTCAGGCTGATAACTGCTGTGCTGAAAGGCAATAATCAGGGGCCCTGACAGACATTCCAGCAGACAGATGGGGGCAACAGACAGAATCAGCTCTGAGACCTAATGAGCAATCAAGACAGATGACTTCACTTTACCATCATGTGGGAGTGTTTTAGTCATGTGACCTTGGGGTGCCACTACTCCTGCTCATTACGCAGGGGAAAGGAAAAACACTTCCTTGGGTTGATCTGAATAATATCAAAGCTTAGATCCATCTTAAAAAGTCATGGAGAATTTTTATCCGGGATATCATGACTCTAAAGGAATAGATTTCTGGATTTCAAGGACCTGTTGTCCAGAGCCAGGCCTTGCTCTTACTCTTGGACCATTCAGCACGTTAAGTCCAGGAGGATAGTAATGTAAGAGTAAGTGTAGGGACAGGGGTATTGTCTGTGTGACTGATTTCTACTCTGAAATTTTAATCTACTTCTCTTAACAGTACTCTCAAAAAGAAGACAAATATGAGGAAGAGATCAAGATTCTTACTGACAAACTCAAGGAGGTGAGCTGAGGGGATTATAGGGCAGGACCCAAAACATTTAGAGGTCTATAAGGCATTAATGTGGACTTAGACTGGCTAGTTTGGGTTCTGAAAGGTCCAGAAGTAGAAGGTGGAAGAAATAGAGATTGTTCTTCTTTGTCTACATCTCTGATTCTGACTGATTTCATATTTCCCCCAGGCAGAGACCCGTGCTGAGTTTGCTGAGAGATCGGTAGCCAAGCTGGAAAAGACAATTGATGACTTGGAAGGTATGGAACCTGGAAGAGGGATTGAAATCGAAAAATATAGAGGAAGACTTTACCTGTTAACCATTCATCTCTTTTTCCTGTACACCAAAGGAAGTTGCTAGTGACTTGGCATATATTAATATCATGTTCACTGTCCTATGCCACAGCTAGGCAAAGTGGGTGAAACCCTAGAATTGGATTTTTAAAATTAATCTTTTCCTTTCAGAAGACTTCGCCTAATATTCTGCAATTTGTATTCTTCCCTTTGAGGAAAATGATAATGGCTGCATTTACCTCCAATTTAGTAGTTTTAAACCTTTGGTCTGTAGGTTTAAATGGAAGCCATGATTTCAGAAGGGCAAGACGTATGTCAGTTCATGGCTACTTTCCACAATTCTTTTCACCACTCAAGTTGTGGGGTATTTATCAAAGAAATGAAGTTGTGGAATAACCAGATCTGAGCACTGACAACGAATGTCAGGAGCTTTCTAAATACTTTCTGTCCCTGCAAGTTGGTAACTGCCATCCACCCTGACAAGGGCACATGCTCTTTGCTTCGAGAGCTCTGATGTATGCTCCTTTGGTATGCTCTTGGAAGAGTTGCAGGGGCAACCTGTGGAGCAAAGGGGCCACTAATAAATAGGGTTCACACTTCGTAGGCAGAGAAGTGTCTGATTATGGATGTCTACTCTCTCCCTTTGCTGTTTTTGTTCCTGGAATTGGGTACCTGGATGGGAGTGATATCCTCTTGAGTGCCTTTGGTAATAGGAATTTCTAGTTATGATTGTGCCCAGGTTCTCAGCCCTTGATGCAGTGGATAAGGGGTATCAAAAAAGGGAGTTGGTCATAGGAGAGAGTAGATCTGAACATGCCCAGTCATGGTTGCCAGAATAGATGTGTTCCTAACTGTGGTATTAGACCCACAGTCACACTTTTCCTAATTTCTAATGATTCCCTCTCTTCATCTGCTCCTGAAACCTTTCACTCTGTCCCCTCATTCCTCCCTGTGGTTCCTGTGCCCGTCCAGATGAGCTCTATGCCCAGAAACTGAAGTACAAGGCCATTAGCGAGGAGCTGGACCACGCCCTCAATGACATGACCTCTATGTAACTATCTGACAGCAGAGTGGGGCTGGGATCTTGGCTTGTGGGTGGATGGGGGTACAAGCTATGCATAGTGGTGTGCTTTGGTTTTATCCTCTGGAAACTATAGAATCTCCACCCTTATCTTTGAAACATTGGTGCTGGTTATTTGTTTGGCAAAAGCTCTGGAGGCGTGGCTGGGTGTTGTGGCTCACACCTGTAATCCCAGCATTTTGGGAGGCCGAGGCTGGTGGATCACCTGAGGTGAGGGGTTTGAGACCAGCCTGGCCAACATGGTGAAACACCGTCTCTACTAAAAATACAAAAATTAGCCAGGCATGCTGGCAGTGTGCCAGTAATCCCAGCTGCTCAGGAGGCTGAGGCAGGAGAATCGCTTGAACCTGGGAGGCAGAGGTTGCAGTGAGCCAAGATTATACCACTGCACTCCAGCCTGGGCAATAGAGAGCAAGACTGCGTCTCAAAAAAAAATTAAAGGCCGGACCCAGTGGCTCACACCTGTAATCCCAGCCCTTTGGGAGGCCAAGTGGGGCAGATGACTGGAGGCCAAGAGTTCAAGACCAGCTTGGCCAACATGGCGAAACCTCGTGTCTACTAAAAAATATTGAGAAAATTAGCTGGGCGTGGTGGTGCACGTCTGTAATCCCAGCTACTCGGGAGGCTGAGGCAGGGGAATTGCTTGAAACTGGGAGGTGGAGGTTACGATCAGCCAAGATTATGCGGTCTGGGTGAAAGAATGAGACTCTGTCTCGGAAAAAAAAAAAATGCCCTGGAGGCAGTTAATTTTGGATCAGAGGGAGAACCCTGATTGACCTGTAACTTTCATACTTTGTATTTATAGTTGTTTCATTACACTGATTTTTCTATTTGCTTCTCAAATTTAGTCTTCTCAGAAGGGATACTACTAGAGGTAGAATCCATGCAACTAAGGAAATCGGGCCCAGAGAGCCAGTGACTTGGGCCCTGACACATTAAAACAAAATTCAGGCCTCCTGGGTGTGTTTGATTTGTTCCCTGATACTAAGGTTTAGGGAACTATTTAAGATGAGAAATACCAAATTCACTTAAGAATTGAGCTGAGTCCCAGAAGCAAGCCAAGTGGTAAACAGCACCAAAGAGAGCTGGGAGTTCATCTGTTTGCTGTGGATCCCTGATCCTTGATGCTAATCGGCTTCTTTGTATCTTTCCCACTAACCCTGAAAAGAAGCCAAATTTCTCAGGCTAAAGTGTCTGGCTCTCTTTTATTATTCCTGCTGCCACCTCTTCCTTTTTTTCCTCCCTTTCTCCTAATTTGCTATCTAGATTGATGCCAGTCCTTCTCACCTAGAGTATCCTTACTTTTTCATACAGATAATTATCACCGTTTCTGCTCTGTTCTGGATCTGCCCCCTTTCCTCCTCGGGGAACCCAACGCCCCACTCGCTCTGGATTCCATTTGGGTCAGCCTGGCTGGTCCCCAAGGCATTAGGATGGGGGGGCACAAAAGCAACTTATGTATTTTCTTCCACCCCCACCCCAAATTAAAATGTTAAGCTGCTGGAAACCTCATGCCACCCTGCATTTGTGTCATTGACAAAGCTGCTGCTGTCCCTAAGAAGGAGCCTTGGGGTTGTGATGTGGGGAAGAGCTATCGTAGGCTCCCCTACCTCTGACTTACATAATCAAAGCCACTTTTGTGTGTGTCTATTTTTTCTTGACATTTAAACTCAGTTGATCTGATTCTACCAGAGTGATGGATTTAGTACAGGTTCTTCAGAATGGTAATTTTAGTTACACTCCTCAGGGTGAACAAGATTAAATTCCTTATTTCCAGGTTCTTAAATCATCTGCCTGCAGTGTTTCCATTCTCTCTTCAGGTCCTCCTCCTTTGCTGTAGTGTCATTGAGAAGCCATTGAAGTGACTCTCAGTATACATTCTGTACCCTTTTACTCGTGGTTCAAATGGTGCAGCCTCAGAACACTCAGAACTCAATATATTATTGCTAAGATTGATGAGTTACATCATCCCAAGTCACAGAAAAATATACAATGGATAGAATTCTCAACAGTTTTACTTTTTCTTCTTTAAATCTTTCTTACATATTTGAGACTTGCTACCGTTTGCCTACTAGTGTGTGCTAGTGGGATATAAGACAAGTGATAAATTATTATTGGGAAAACTAAAATGGCCAATCATGAATATTTCAAATAATGTGCATATGGGGCTGATGATTTATTACATACATAAATTTCTGCTAGTCACATTTCCCCTGGTTCATAACATGGAATTAAATATCAACATTTTAGAAATTTCCCATTCCAATTTACGCAGCAGAGATTTCTGAATAGTATAGCTGTGAATTATACTAATCCAAGCACAAGTGTAGTTCACTTAGTACTTTAGTTTCTCAGAAGGGTTTGTATTTAAAATTTTCTTTTCTTTTTTTTTGAGACGGAGTTTCGCTCTTGTTACCCAGGCTAGAGTGCAATGGCGTGATCTCGGCTCACCTCAACCTCCGCCTCCTGGGTTCAGGCGATTCTCCTGCGTCAGCCTCCCTAGTAGCTGGGATTACAGGCACGCGCCACCATGCCCAGCTAATTTTTTGTATTTTTAGTAGAGACGGGGTTTCACCATGTTGACCAGGATGGTCTCGATCTCTTGACCTCGTGATCCACCCACCTTGGCCTCCCAAAGTCCTGGGATTACAGGCGTGAGCCACCGCCTAAAATTTTCTTCTCTTTCAGCTGGGCGTAATGGCACGTGCCTGTAGTGCCTGTAGCTACTTGGGAGACTGAGGCAGGAGGAAGGCTTAAGTCCAGGAGTTCTGCACTGTGTGTTATGCCAGGCAGGTGTCCTCACTAAATTTGGCATCAGTATGGTGATCTCCTGGGAGTGGAGAACAACGAGATTGCCTAAGGAGAGGTGAACTGGCCCAGGTCAGAAATGGAGCAGGTCAAAATTCCTGTGCTGTTCAGTAGTAGGATTGCACCTGTGAATAGCCACTGTAGTGCACCAGCCTGGGCAGCACAGCAAGATTCCATCTCTTAGAAAAAAACTTTTGCTCTTCTTTAAACGGATATAATCAGGTAGGGAAGTTTTCCTTAATCTAAAACTTTTAAGTCTCATATCATTTTCAGGTTGCTTATTGTCCATTCCAGTTCTTACTGCTGTATAGCCTTTGAGATTAAGGTTCAGATTCATTTATTCATCTGACACATTTTTTTTTTTTGAGACTAGTCTCGCTCTGTCACCCAGGCTAGAGTGCAGTGGTGCGATCTCAGTTCACTGCAACCTCTGCCTCCTGGGTTCAAGCAGTTCTCTGCCTCAGCCTTCCTAATAGCTGGGATTACAGGCGCCCGGTATCACGCCCAGGTAATTTTTTTTGTGTGTGTGTATTTTTAGTAGAGACGGGGTTTCATCATGTTGGCTAGGCTGGTCTTGAACTCCTGACCTCGTGATCCACCCCACCTCAGTCTCCCAAAGTGCTGGGATTACAGGTGTGAGCCACCGCGCCTGGCCCAGCTGACACTTCCTGGTATCTTCTAGGTATAGGATATTAAGATGGGGACAGAAATAAAGATGGAGGTACCATTCCTACTCTCAAGTTGCTTAGATTCTACTAGGAGAGAGAACAGATACATAAAGCTATAGATACTGTGTGATGAGTGCCACAAATAATAGGTTATGGGAGTTGAATGGAGGGGAAGAGATTGATGCCAGTGGAGATGATTTGGAAAAACTCATGGAAAAAGGCATGTAATAGGTACTTCATAAACATGTTAAAACTTTTTTTTTCTTTTTTTTGTGAGATGGAGTTTCACTCTTGTTGTCTAGGCTGGAGTGCAGCGGCATGATCTTGGCTCACTGCAACCTCTGCCTTCTGGGTTGAAGCAGTTCTCCCACCTCAGCCTCCTGAGTAGCTGGGATTATAGATGCCTGTC